CGTATGAATTATGGTTTGGGAAGAAACCTAAGCTGTCGTTTCTAAAAGTTTGGGGATGCGATGCTTATGTCAAGAAACTTCAACCTGAAAAGCTCGAACCCAAGTCGGAAAAATGCGTCTTCATAGGATACCCTAAAGGAACTATTGGGTATACCTTCTACCTCAGATCCGAAGGCAAGATCTTTGTTGCCAAGAATGGATCCTTTCTAGAGAAGGAGTTTCTCTCGAAAGAAGTAAGTGGGAGGAAAGTAGAACTTGATGAAGTATTACCTCTTGAACCGGAAAGTGGCGCAACTCAAGAAAATGTTCCTGAGGTGCCTGCACCGACTAGAGAGGAAGTTAATAATGATGATCAAGATACTTCTGATCAAGCTCCTACTAAACTTCGAAGGTCCACAAGGACACGTTCCGCACCAGAGTGGTACGGCAACCCTGTCTTGGAAATCATGTTGTTAGACAACGGTGAACCTTCGAACTATGAAGAAGCGATGGCGGGCCCGGATTCCGACAAATGGCTGGAAGCCATGAAATCCGAGATAGGATCCATGTATGAAAACGAAATATGGACTTTGACTGACTTGCCCGATGATCGGCGAGCCATAGAAAATAAATGGATCTTTAAGAAGAAGATAGACGCGGATGGTAATGTGACCATCTATAAAGCTCGGCTTGTCGCTAAGGGTTATCGACAAGTTCAAGGGGTTGACTACGATGAGACTTTCTCTCCCGTAGCGAAGCTGAAGTCCGTCCGAATTATGTTAGCAATTGCCGCATACTATGATTATGAGATATGGCAAATGGACGTCAAAACGGCATTCCTTAATGGTTTCCTTAAGGAAGAATTGTATATGATGCAGCCGGAAGGTTTTGTCGACCCTAAGAATGCTAACAAGGTATGCAAGCTCCAGCGAACCATTTATGGGCTGGTGCAAGCATCTCGGAGTTGGAATATTCGCTTTTATGAGATGATCAAAGCCTTTGGGTTTATGCAGACTTATGGAGAAGCCTGCGTTTACAAGAAAGTGAGTGGGAGCTCTGTAGCATTTCTCATATTATATGTAGATGACATACTTTTGATGGGAAATGATATAGAACTTTTGGACAGCATTAAGGCCTACTTGAATAAGAGTTTTTCAATGAAGGACCTTGGAGAAGCTGCTTATATATTAGGCATCAAGATCTATAGAGATAGATCAAGATGCCTCATAGGTCTTTCACAAAGCACATACCTTGATAAGATATTGAAGAAGTTTAATATGGATCAGTCTAAGAAGGGGTTCTTGCCTGTGTTGCAAGGTGTGAAATTGAGCTCAGCTCAATGTCCGACCACGACAGAAGATATAGAAGAGATGAGTGTCATCCCCTATGCCTCAGCCATAGGGTCTATTATGTATGCCATGCTGTGTACCAGACCTGATGTAAACCTTGCCGTAAGTTTGGTAGGTAGGTACCAAAGTAATCCCGGCAAGGAACACTAGACAGCGGTCAATAATATACTGAAGTACCTGAAAAGGACTAAGGACATGTTTCTCGTTTATGGAGGTGACGAAGAGCTCGCCGTAAAGGGTTACGTCGATGCTAGCTTCGACACAGATCTGGATGACTCTAAGTCACAAACCGGATACGTGTATATGTTGAATGGTGGAGCAGTAAGCTGGTGCAGCTGCAAGCAGAGCATCATGGCGGGATCTACATGTGAAGCAGAGTACATGGCGGCCTCGGAGGCAGCGCATGAAGCAATTTGGGTGAAGGAGTTCATCACCGACCTAGGAGTCATACCCTATGCGTCGGGGCCGATCAAACTCTTCTGTGACAACACTGAAGCTATTGCACTTGCCAAGGAGCCCAGGTTTCACAAGAAGACCAGGCACATCAAGCGTCGCTTCAACTCCATTCGTGAAAATGTTCAAGATGGAGACATAGATATTTGTAAAGTACATACGGACTTGAATGTCGCAGATCCGTTGACTAAACCTCTCCCTAGAGCAAAACATGATCAACACCAGAATTCCATGGGTGTTCGATTCATCACAATGTAACTAGATTATTGACTCTAGTGCAAGTGGGAGACTGTTGGAAATATGCCCTAAAGGCAATAATAAAAGGATTATTATTATATTTCTTTGTTTATGATAATTGTCTTTTATTCATGCTATAATTGTGTTATCCGAAAATCCTAATACATGTGTGAATACATAGACACCAACATGTCCCTAGTAAGCCTCTAGTTGACTAGCTCGTTGATCAATAGATAGTCATGGTTTCCTGACTATGGACATTGGATGTCATTGATAACGAGATCACATCATTAGGAGAATGATGTGATGGACAAGACCGAATCCTAAACATAGCACAAGATCGTATAGTTCGTTTGCTAGAGTTTTTCCAATGTCAAGTATATTTTCCTTAGACCATGAGATCGTGTAACTCCCGGATGCCGTAGGAGTGCTTTGGGTGTACCAAACGTCACAACGTAACTGGGTGACTATAAAGGTATACTACGGGTATCTCCGAAAGTGTCTGTTGGGTTGACACGTATCAAGACTGGGATTTGTCACTCCGTATGACGGAGAGGTATCTCTGGGCCCACTCGGTAATGCATCATCATAATGAGCTCAAAGTGACCAAGTGTCTGGTCACGGGATCATGCATTACGGTACGAGTAAAGTGACTTGCCGGTAACGAGATTGAACGAGGTATTGGGATACCGACGATCGAATCTCGGGCAAGTAACATACCGTTTGACAAAGTGGTTCATCCGATGAGATCATCGAGGAGCATGTGGGAGCCAACATGGGTATCCAGATCCCGCTGTTGGTTATTGACCAGAGAGTCGTCTCGGTCATGTCTACATGTCTCCCGAACCCGTAGGGTCTACACACTTAAGGTTCGATGACGCTAGGGTTGTAGAGATATGAGTATGCAGTAACCCGAAAGTTGTTCGGAGTCTCGGATGAGATCCCGGACGTCACAAGGAGTTCCGGAATGGTCCGGAGGTGAAGAATTATATATAGAAAGTGCAGTTTCGGCCATCGGGAGAGTTTCGGGGTCACCGGTATTGTACCGGAACCACCGGATGGGTCCCGGGGGTCCACCGGATGGGGCCACCCATCCTGAAGGGCCCCATGGGCTAAAGTGGGGAGGGGAACCAGCCCATAGTGGGCTGATGCGCCCCCCTTGGCCCACCCCCTGCGCCTAGGGTTGAAACCCTAGGGTGGGGGGGGGCCCACTTGCCTTGGGGGGTACTCCACCCCTTGGCCGCCGCCCCCCTAGGAGATCCCATCTCCTAGGGCCGGCGCCCCCCCTAGGGGAGCCTATATAAAGAGGGGGGAGGGGCAGCCGCACCCTTGACTCTTGGCGCCTCCCTCTCCCCTGCTACACCTCTCCCTCTCGCAGAAGAACGGCGAAGCCCTACTGCGGTGACTGCTGCATCCACCACCACGCCGTCGTGCTGCTGGATCTTCATCAACCTCTCCTTCCCCCTTGCTGGATCAAGAAGGAGGAGACGTCATGCTGACCGTACGTGTGTTGAACACGGAGGTGCCGTCCGTTCGGCGCTAGGATCTCCGGTGATTTGGATCACGTCGAGTACGACTTCCTCATCCCCGTTCTTTGAACGCTTCCGCGCGTGATCTACAAAGGTATGTAGATGTAATCCGATCACTCGTTGCTAGATGAACTCATAGAGGGATCTTGGTGAAACCGTAGGAAAATTTTTGTTGTCTGCAACGTTCCCCAACACTTCTATACTACACTCTGCGCACTGGCAGAAGACACAGCGCATGCTTCGGCCGGACCAAGTCTGGGCGGCCTATTTTTTAAACTTTCGTTTTTATTTTCCGTTTTCCGTTTCTGCCTTCGTTTTTTATTTTAAATAATTTGGGACTTCAAAAAAGTTATGAAAAATAGAAAAAAGTGTATTTTGAAATAAAATGTTTAATAATTCATAAATGTTTGTGGATTCAAAAAATGTATGTGATTTTCAAAAAATATTAGCATATTCAGAAAATGTGCACAGTTCTAAAAACAAATGTCCGGTAAATTAATAAATGTTGATAATGTTTTTTAAAAGTGTGTGTACTAAAAAATGATAATGAAATGAAAACAAATCGGCTATTTAGAAAATGTTCGCGAATTTAGAAATATCCTAAAAATTCAAAAACTCTTCGTGACTGATAAAATATTTTAATGATTCTCGGGAATTTAGAAAATGATCATGTATTTCAAAAAATGTTCGTTAGATATAAAAAATCGTGAATGTCAAAAGTTGTTCCACAATTTCCAAAAAATATATTTGTCAATTCTAGAAATGCTCGCCTATTCAAGAAAAATGTTTTTAAAATGTTCATAATTTTAAAAAAAATGTTTTCAAATAGTATAAAATTGTGATGAATTCCATTTTTTCATGATTTTAGAAAATGTTCGAAAATCTGTTAAAATGTTGATGAATTCGAAAAATGTTCGCGATTTCCGATATGGTCACGAGTTTAAAAAAATGTTCATGACTTTCAAAAATTGTTCTCAATTACACGAAAATGAGAGTAATGTATCTGAGTGATGCAACAAAATATGATAATGGCCATCAGAGACTATAATATATATTTTTCTCCCGTTGTAAGGCACGAACCGTTTTGCTAGTACAACCTATGCACCAAATAATGGATGTATCTCATCAGTGAGAAGGGCGGAGGAAATAGAACGTTTTCCATATATAACTCGTTATGGCCTTCTAAATGAATTAGGAGGTAAGTCGTGAACTCAATGGACTTTGTTTTTCTCCTAATATTGACCGGTTGAGTTTTTTTTAACACGGTTGAGTTTGATTTAGTTATACTCAAAGTTAAACTCACACCTCAACTGGCGGCACGAATCATTTCAATAAATAAGAATAAGATGAGATTGGCCACATCGGATTTCAACTCACTTTTTTATTCGCAATAATAAACTCATGAAAAGGTAGTACCAATCAACACACTATCTTATACCAGTAGTGTATTCTGTTAACGCCCACCCGTATTTCCAAGTATGGGCTGCGGTATACTTGGGCAATTTCTTTGACACTCTTCATAGGAATCATAACACGGTACGCCTGGCAGAGTGACGCAGCATATGCATTTCGCCCACCAGGTTCTAAAGTTTTCACCTTTGGTCTTACAATCTCTATCGAGACAAAATTTCAAGGTAAGTTTGCTCTCATCAGGTGAGGAGACCAGCGTGGTCGTGTTGGCATGGTCATCTTTGTAGGTGCTCTCGGGCTCACGACGACCTATTACATAGAATAACATTATACAGTTATCAGTCCGTAATATGCACATAAATAAATATTGAAAAACAATACAATAGTGATGTCTACTTACATTGTCCAACCATAAGAAGGCACCCAATTGAAAAAACAGCAATTGTGTACGCAGCGCTCCCCTTCATATTCCACGAACCGTATGTGAGATTATGAGGTAGTTTTAGAAGGGATCTGATGCAATGGCACAACTCACCCTTGCCTCAGTATATATATAGGCATATGCATTAATTGTCGATGATCACGTTCCATATACGCAAGCATCTGCATGACACATATGCGCCGTGTGAGACGGACGAGACTTGCTAGGAATGCGTATAATCACCATAAGGACGCGGTGATTAGTAACCATAATATTCACATCAGTGCTAGGATCTGCGAGGGAGGTTACCACGCATCAGCGCTGGGATCGGCAAGATTAGTAATCATAGTATACGCATCAGTGTTCCCTCGACAAGAAAAAGAGTATACGCATCAGTGCTGGGATCTGCGAGATTAAACCACAATATACGCATTATTGCTCGGATCCACGAGGTTAGGGCATCTTTAACGGCTACCCGCCAATTTCCTCACGCATCCGTTCACAGATAAAGGGGCCCAGCCCGCGGGCATGAATGTGGGAAGGCCGCCGTCTAATCATATCCGCATACATTTTAGTAACAATACAAACAAACCGGACAAAATTCGTTCAAACCAGGTGGATTTCATATAAACACGTCTGAATTTCATATAAACATGACGAAGTTCATTACATTTTGGACATATTTCAACTAAAAGCGAAGCTCATTCGACTATAAACCTAAACTAAATGATCACTGGCGCATGTTTCCCATGTCCTGCCATAAGCCCCGAGAACTGAATCTTCGCCTTCTCCAGTTCCGCCTCCAGAGCCCTGGGAACTGAAGTTGTCTGCTTCCACGTCGCCGCCAAGCGACTAATCAGCTGATGATGCTCAACCCACCAAGCTTGGCATCGATGGGAGGGGAGGAGCGGTGGCCTTCTTGAGACCAGAGCAGCGGCGACCTACCGTGCACTACTCTTCCTCACTACCGGCAGCGCCCGTGGACGTGTCGGTTTCGTGGTCATGGTGGCGGGGCGCGGCCTTGGCAGTGTCCTCGCCGTCGTCTGTCTTGCCCCATAGCTCGTCCACCGCCTCGTCGAACTCCTTGTAGGCAGCCTCAAATTTCGGCATTTATTCTCTTCCATTTTCTGCAACTTCTGTAGCACTCTACCTAGATCAGCTTTCACCTTTTTCCTCATTCCAACCTCAGCCAGATATTCCTTCTGAATATTTAGGATTTTGTCATTCTTTTTCTTCATTTCTTCAAATTGCTTGAGCCCTGCACTATCCAGAGAGATGTTTTCCTTGTTTCCCTCAACATCTACTCTACCAATTTTAATCTTCTTTCTCATATCATCTAGGTCAGCATCCTTATCTGTCTCAATATCTTCATGTTTTCTTTTATCTTCATACCAGCCCTGCTCCATTAGCCTTTCAAGTTTCAAAGTCACTCTATATATCATGAGATCCTTATCAGTCGCTTCAGTGTGCTTGGGGATTTTTTCAAAATCTCTCACCCCCACCTTGGCTCTTATTTTTTCCTGCATAATTGTTGTCATGTCAATCTCCAGCACTGGACCAATGGTAGCAGCCACCTCACAAGCACCAAAAAAATGTCTGAAACACTCGGGCACTTTTCCTATCTTCACCCATGCAGTGTGTAGCTTTCCAATGGCTTGAGTGTCATAGGTCCAACTGTCTACATTAATGACAACCTTTGTTCCTAAGAGGTTAAAATTCCCAAATTTGTAAAGTTCAATCAGTCTGCTTTTGTTTGGAAACCTCATAAGATAAGCCTTGTCTCCATGTGTTTTGCATCTTCATTGCCAATCCCACTTGCACATGTAGTTAAATCCTTCCAGAAACTGTGTTTCATTAATCTCTCCAGAAGCAATAGTGATGATAGCCATTGGATTTATCTGCTCACTATTCACAACTTCCTTAGAGTTCTGTATCAGTAGCACCCCCAGCCCTCTAGCTGCATACCCTACAAATTTAGGCAGTGGTTTTACTTGCTTGAGCCAGTTACAATCCTCAGTAATGTGAGAATTTTTTCCACAGATAATGCAGTTTGAGAGTTTCTCGAGAATTCCTAACTTCCTGTATCATGTTCGTTCTGGAAACACGTTAAATTTTATTTTGATTTTGGTTTCAGTTGTACATGTTAGGAAAGATTTCATTGAAATTATTCGTTTGAAAATTTCCCAATTGCGGTAATTTCAAGTCCCATAGTTTGGCGCGTTCTAAAGCAGGCACCAGCCACCATACCGACGCATAAACCGGAGATGCCGCCTGTCGGATCGGCGTGTCATCTAACAATTAGGCCGCCATATCATTGGCACATCTCACCAGGCCTACTCGTGTACGTGCAGTAGTAGAAAAAGGACCTAATGTGAGACACATTAGTGCCGGTTTGATTTTAGCCCGATACTAATGGTACCATTAGTGCCGGTTCGAACGGCTATGCATTAATGCCGGTTCGTGTTGAACCTTTAGTACCGGTTCGTGCCACGAACCGGTACTAAAGGGGTGATGGCAGGCTGGCGTCAGGCCGGGGCCCCACGATCACCTTTAGTACCGGTTCGTGTCACAAACCGGTACTAAAGGGCTAACCTTTAGTACCGGTTTGTGCCACGAACCGGTACTAAAGGGGTCTGACCTATAGTACCGGTTTGTGACACAAACCGACACTATAGGGCAATTTTCAAACTCTACCCCCCCCCGTGTGTCGCCATTTCAGTTCTGAAAAAATCAAAAGAAAATGATAAAAACTTCAAAAAATAAAATCCTTCGAGAGGTAGTTATATTACTACATCTACTAGTTAGGAAAATTTGAAAACTTAAATTTGGACATGTTTTGCAAAAAGTGTAGGGAAAATGTAAAACGGCTATAACTTTTGCATACGATGTCGGAAAAAACGTATAATATATCAAAAAATTCAGCACGAAAATCCGCATCCGATGGAGAC